GTGTGGGGGGGGGGGGGTCATACTTATAAAACTGAAAATTTCAGTCATGTGGTTCATATTCAGGAGGCCCAGGGTTCTAATACTGACCTAGTGACCAGCTATTGAGACTGAGGTTTTTGTGGTTTTCCAAGTAGTTTCTGGGATGACACCTTAAAAGACGCCAAAACTGCCTTTTCATATATTTTCTAATTGATTATTCAGAAACTTCATATTATTAGTTGCTACGTTGAAAACAACATTAAATAATCAAGGAATCATAGAAAACCGGCTTTGAGATTGATGCATTATGTCAGATATGTCAAATGCTTCTGTATCTCAACATCCTATGATTTTTCAGTTAGGTTTTTGAAGACGTTAACAGTCGGAGATTAATGAAATAAGTCTTCTGCGATAAGGGTGCCCATGCATGGGACAGGCATTAATCTGATACATGACATAAACACAGGATCTTGGAGTCTTATTTGGTCTGTGTGAACTCGGGTTTCATGAACTTGTGCTGTATCTGCCATTGTCAAAGCAAGTTCCTGGTATAAAACTACTATGATGTACATTAGTTTCAACAAATTTCATGGTGGTTGTCTTGGAGACAGTGAGTCTGAGGTGTCTCTGTTTAACAGGTTTGCTAGTACTGCTACCTCCCTGCTCTGGTATACTGGAACTGCTGACTTCCTGTTGAGGTATCCCCTGCTCTTTCATGTAGGTGTTCTTTGTTCTGGAGTTCCTGTATGTTGCTTCTGACTTAATATTGTATTTTTAATACTGTTGGTCTCAATTTTGGTTCCATATGTATTGGAGATTTAATATCCAGCACCCAAAGAGCCCTATATAGGTAGAAGGCATGGATATTATTGGTGCTGTTTGGTTTCCTGAAAGGGTTCTATCACCACCTCGCTGCCACACAGCACTCGGCATGATTCATCCCACCTTATCTTTAGTGGGCTAGAGCCCTGTTTAGCCGTCTGTCAGCATTATGTATTTATGATGTGGATGACAGGGTTGAATTTGAAAGGGTACTGTATTGTAAACTCTGGTCCAGGTTGAAGTGACTTATGGTGAAAATTAATTTTTTATATTTCATATCTGATTCCTTGTTTTGAAATTTTTCCTTGGAAAGACAGAATTTAAAACAGATTATGATTATTTTCTTCTGCAGTAGACAGTATGCCTTTTGGTGGTGTTGGCTACAGTGGCATGGGGTCATACCATGGTGTGTACAGTTTCAACACCTTCACACACAAGAAGAGTTGCCTTGTTAAAGACTTCAACCCAGTAGCAGAAAAGCTGGCATCGTAAGTAAATACGCTTGAAGCCCATCAAAATTCAGTAGAATGTTCTTATTCCTGGTGATAAAGGTTCTTATGTTAAAAGAAATAGGGAAAATACCATATGTATATGACTGAAATATGAACAAAGAAGGCTGATAAATTTAACATTATATATCATGCAAATTGACTTTACATGGGTTCAAAAATAAGGCATGACTTGGCTGTAGTACATCCAAATGTTGCAGCTTTTAACTGAATCATGATGACTTCTAGGACTGGATCAGAATTATCACAAACTAGTTTTAAATAGAAATTTGTTGTAACTAAAGTTATGTTGGTATTTATTTGCAGTCATTTCCAAAACCGTAAGTTATGGGCTATACAGAGCAGTTGCTTTAAAGTTCAGAGTTTAACACTCTCATGTTATCTCTTGGTAACAACTTGTAAAATAAAAGCTTGTGTTATTTGTAAATGATCAAAAGTCTACCATTATGATGATGCTGAGGCTGCGCCTTTTGTTTGGTGTAATAATGTTCTTTTGTGTCAAGATTCTGACTGTTTCTGCTTTGATATTGTCTAAATAATGATAAATAGAAATATTTGAATGGGTCACTAGAATTTTTTTATATTACAGTGCCAGATACCCACCATATTCTCAGAAGAAGATAGACTTTATGAGTTTCCTGTTGAAAAAGAGGAAAGGCTTGAGCCTGAAATTCCTACCTTATCTGATTATGTTTGCTTTTGGCGTGACAGCCACGGTTGTCTTCAGATCCATTTCAAAGGTAAGGACTGATACAGTAAACCTTGTTATTTGATTTTTAGAGTTCTGCGCGAACAAATTATTTTTATTACTGAGCTTCGCCACGGTGGTCTAGCGGTTAGAACGCTGGCCTTGTAATCCTGGGGTCTCGGGTTCGATTCCCGGCGGTGCCCGAATTTATAACTTGTGTTGGGCAAGGCCGTGGTCTAGGCAACACGGAGTTTTCCTCCGTGGCATCCCAACAATTACCCCATTCACACACAGAAGAAGGCAATGCCAAACCACTTCTGGATCATCTGCCAAGAAAGTATATGAACAGGTCCCAGTCCGAGAAAAGGATCGAAGGATCCTGTTCATATGGACCTGTCCTCAGACAGAACACTAAATAATAATAAGATGAGGTGGGCTAGCGGTTAGAACGCTGGCCTTGTAATCCTGGGGGGTCTCGGGTTCGATTCCCGGCGGTGCCCGAATTTATAACTTGCGTTGGGCAAGGCCGTGGTCTAGGCAACACGGAATTTTCCTCCGGGGGCTTCCCCGGTTTCTCCGGGGCATCCCAACAATTACTCCATTCACAAACAGAAGAAGGCAATGGCAAACCACTTCTGGATCATCTGCCAAGAACGTATATGAACAGGTCCCAGTCCGAGAAAAGGATGGAAGGATCCTGTTCATATGGACCTGTCGTCAGACAGAACAAACAAAACTTCCAGTTTGTATAGAAAATCTTCTCAATATCAAAGTGCTGTTAGGTCAGTAAAATCGAAGACGTTGCTTTGGTTCAATTCTGAAGGGTTTTGACGGTGGTGGATTACACTTCAAATTGTTCATTATCTGGACTTTTTCCATCGTTCTTGTCTAAAAGAAAGAAACCGCGACGTTTCGGAAACTGGCTCTTATTACTTTGGGTTTCGTGTTGGAGGGAGCAGACAACAAACTTGCTTATAGAATTTTTCTGGGGGAAATTTTTGCAGACCGAAAAGTAGTCTACATTTGGATGTGACATAAATATATTTATTTCAGGAGAATTATTCGTGTTTTTTCCGTCTAATCACAATTGTATATAAATAAAATGATACATAAGATATTAAAATATCATTTACATATTTGGTACAACTTTTTACAAAGTAATTAAATTTTAATTCACAATATGACGCAATTATATCAACTTATGAATAACATTCAGGAGAATGGCTAGAGAAAACGCGTGATGGGTGAAAATGGGTTAGGATAGTGTCCAATCATGTTACGTGTGTTTAAAAAAAATATGCATTGCAGTGTGTGTTGACAAAACGTGGGCTGCTCGTGCAGGTTAGCAAGCACCAAGCTACCTTCATGTGGCTGGGGTATAAAAATAAATTAATGTGGAATCGATACTTTCATGCAGAATGCGTACATTTTAGCCACTCCTCTTCTAGCTGGTGTTGAAAATGTCACCACAGTTTCTAGTCTTTTCCCTCATTACATTCAATTCCTTTTCCTTTCATTATATACTGAATTCCCTCTTCCTGTGACCTTAGGCCCTGTTCCTTGTTTTGTTTGACGTATCGTAGAATAATGGTGAAGATGTTCCTACATTGAAGTGCCACACCATGAAGACGTTTGGAGGGAGTGGAGGTTCCTTTGTTAGTCACTTGAATATCTGAACTTGTGGGGTGTGTCTGTCAGCATCTCTGATTTGTTTCATACCACGGTTAATGATTTTGTACTTTTGCAGAGAAACCCATCTGGACTGTTGAATGTTGTCGGTAGAAAGGCATCAGACCTTCTGCATAACCTGAAATCCATTGGAGTGAAGGAAGTATAAGGATGTAAGACTTGAGGTTCTCACAGTGGTGAGTATGAAGATTTCCGTCTTCTGGGTTGTTGTGCTGTGTAGTCTGGTCAATGTTTACCATCGTTTCAGAGGTCATACTGCCTTCATCATCAGGGCGATGAGTATGAAGATTTCTGTCTTCTGAGTTGTAGGGCTATGTAGTCTGATATAAATTTACCAATGTTTGAGGCCCTTGCTGCCTCATTGTCCTGATGATGGAGGCAGCAAGGACCTCTGAAATGTTGGTAAACTTCTACCAGACTCTGCAGCACTACAACCCAGAAGACAGCCATCTTGTATTCTGTTGTTATCCATTCATCTCTATCTTTTTCTCTTCTTCATTATTTCCTTTTAAAATTCTGTTTCAATCTTCACTGTCAGACTCTGCCCCTTGATCTAACTCGTAGCACCGAAATCAAATGGCTGTGTCCCATACACCACTAAGGAAACTGAGAATGATAAATCATCTGAAAATAGTGGGTAATGGAGGTAAGATACAATCAAACCAGAAATTGGAATTGAACCACTGTTGCATCATGGTGTATTTAATGTTTCACAGGGTCTTTATGGATATTTGGAAATGGTGGTGCCAGTGGAGAATTGAAGATTAATGGTCAAGCCATTGTAAACTTTATTTAATAAGAAATCAAACTTCTAACATTGCAGACTTTCTTAAAGATGCACCAGTGGCTTATTACGTCTATAAGTGAGATGTAACAGAGACATTGAGGACTATGTTTGTTTGTCTGTAGAACACAGAGAGGGGCATCATAATATTTCCTTGTCATGTGCATTGCTGTGACAATTCAAAAATATATATCAGATTAACAGTTGTTGAATTGTTTGTAGCGGTTTATCTCTGTCTGCTAGTTGAAGAGGCTACATGTCGCAAAGAGTTTATTACAGAATCAAATATTCATGTTTTTATGTTGCTCAATCGTGTCAAAACACATTCCGTGAAGTGTTTTAAGTTTTATGCATTAAAATACTTGGGCAGTTCTCTTCATAGTGATTAAAGTTTCTTTTAAAAAAGAAGGAGCTGAATGAATAGAGATTTATACAAAGATTAAAAATAAAAGTCATTTTGGGTTAAATCATCTTGAAAAAGTTTGTTTTAGTGTGAATGAGCGTTATAAGATGAAGAAAAGAAAAATGTTTCTAGTAAAACATGGTGACATGTGATGTACTACTGGCACTGTACTAAAAGTACTGATATCACAAGAATGGCTACCATAGGCTGGATGCCTGGCATTTTCTTTTCTTAACACCTTCTGTGTCTGGGTCCTAGACTTGAAATGGCCAGAATGTAGCAAAACATTTACCAATGTTAACATGACTATGAAAGTGTAAACTGCACCAGAATACACTCAATTTTACAAATGTGTTCTTTTGCAAGTATTGGATTCTAAATATAGAGCTTCACCTTCCCCACCCTAGCGCAACATCTGACCAGATATTGCCTCACCAACATAACCTCAGGGTGCCCGAATTTATAACTTGTGTTGGGCAAGGCCGTGGTCTAGGCAACACGGAGTTTTCCTCCGTGGCATCCCAACAATTACTCCATTCACACACAGAAGAAGGCAATGGCAAACCACTTCTGGATCATCTGCCAAGAACGTATATGAACAGGTCCCAGTCCGAGAAAAGGATGGAAGGATCCTGTTCATATGAACCTGTCGTCACACAGAACACTTTAAAAAAAAACTTGCCTTGTTTACCTTGGCTCTCATGGTTCTTTTAATTACTACCGCTACCAAACATTGTCTGTCCTTGCCTACCCTCATCTTTCATAACCTTGAGTGACCAACACAAACATTCGTGCCTTTGTTCCACCTTGACTACCATAGTTAAATATCTTGGTTGCCATGGTTACCTTTGCTACCATGGCCGCCCTTATTGGAAACATTCTCATGTTTACATTGGCTATCTTGGCTACCCCAGTTTCCATGGTTACTGTATTTACCTTGGTTGCCATGTTCACCGAGTTTACTCAAGCTCACAGTCTGACATCTACCCCTAGCCAGATTGGTCAACAGGGAGAGGTCAGACTAAGACAGGTATCCTGGTCTTCCAGGCTGGGGGTTGGTCGCAAGGCTAACAACCTTGCACCGTAAAAACCTCGGACAGACGGACCTAACAGAGGACCGAATGGAAGAGGAGAATTGAGGAGGCCATGGACCGGAGAGCCATAGAAGAAGAAGAAGAAGATATAGATGGACAGACAGACATGGCCAGCCCTATATTGCATTATTTTCTTGCATTTTGTATAAAGAACGCATTATAATGCATGCAGTTGTACCTTATGCAAATTTTTGTAATGTATACTATGTACTGACATGAAAAATAAGTGGGTTCAGTGGAAAATTCTTGTGTTGGTGTTATGTTCCTGAACTACATACATTTTGTTATTGGGGTATGTGATTGTTTGTGCATACTCATACAGTGTCCAAACAGAAATTAAAATATTCATTGGGGATCCGAATATTGTTTGGAGGCTGTATTCCCCCCCACCCCCCCAGAATGCGAAGCACGGCTGTTATGCTTGTTTCAAACTGGGATCAAGTGGCTGGTGCATTTGTTCAACTTTCGATTGGCAATGTAGGTGTGTCTAAAATAACACGAAATCCCTGCAATGGTTCTAAAAGAAGTGATCGGTATTGTATGCACTAATTTACTGATTTTTATGTAATTGAGTTTATAAACATCATGTTGGCAATATTCCCAGGTACATTTTAACCACTTATCAACAATACGAATATGGCAGCCGTGCGAACTTGTCGAGACGAGAATACTATTTGCGTCATTCAGTGCAAGTATTCAATTAAGAGATTTTCAGTGTGCTGTATTATATCTTTAAAAAATGTATGATTTTTCTTGAAGCGTTATTTTTATGAAATGGAAAACAGGAAGGAAGCTGCTGTAAATATTTTGGCGTAAAACATCGTTGTAAACGGTCACATGAAATATATGTTGCACAATTAGTACAAATGCTAATAGTGCTGGCTAGTATTAAAGAAAATAAGGTTTAATCCTAAGGACCCTAAAACACATGACTCCAAATATGACTGCATGTAATGTTTTCTATATTTATCCTGCATCTTTCGAAATACTGGCGCAGAACAGGATGAACTCGGCTGTCGTTTATTTTTTATTTATTTTTTTAAAAAATAACTTTTTCTGTTTCGCATAGTGACAAATTTAGAAGTTTTAGTCATGTGCAAAAAATTTGTGAATATGTTTGTAATCTTTCGAAGCAAGAAATCAATACTTGCTGCTTTAATTACAGACACACGTAACACCGTGACGACCTTCCTACCATGTTTTGCTAGAATTGGCTAATGTATTCCAGTTATTAGACGCACTCCAGGCAGAATTTATCTTACGGCTGTTCCCCCGTTCAAGGTACTGAATTTCTGTTCGTAAAAGTTGTTTTAAATCAATGGTTTCCAAACTGGTTCGTATTCAAGTACTCGAAATGTTTTGTTTGGAACATGAACAACGGTAGTTTTTGTATCCTACTCTTTTAAGCCAAGTATAAAATCGACTTTTCAAAGAAATTTCTGCACCACAGAGTGAGTGAGTGAATACCATTTTAAGGAAAAGTAACAATGATATATATATATAATGTTACATTGCATTGCATTGTGAGACATTCACTTGGATAACATAAATAAGTACTGTTTCCCTCTTTGCAATTGTCGCGCTGCACGCCATGTAGGCGCTTGGGGAGAGAGCTGATATAGCTCATATTCTTAACCTCGGCACTCGTTAGGAGTGAATGATGAGCTTCACGCCTCATCCTCTGGGAATCGAACCCGTGCCATCCAGTCCGTAGTCAATCACAAAACTGCTCACAGCGAATTTGTTATTTTAATTATGTAATGTTGGCATGTTTCGGTGTAACATCTAACCATTATCAGTTGACGTACGATAATGATAAAAGTTACGTACTGAACTGCATTCCACTTTAACATTGGAACGAGTGTTAAAAGGTTAAAATATTGACACCACACCTTGAAATGACTAGACAGTTCACTTACAAGGATCCGTGTTAGGTATAATTTACATATTTATACATCCGACAAAACGTTTTGATAATGTTCTACACTGGTAAATAACGGTAAATTCTAGTCTTCAGAGTTGATGGAAGGATTTCATATTCACTGCGACTAATGCCGAGTATACAGAATGTCCCAAAAAGATATACACACACAAGGTTAATATACAATATTATAATATGTATTCATCTTTTTTGGGTTACCTCTATTTTAAACCGACAAGAATAAAGATTAAGAGAAGGCCATAATAGTGAGAGGTCGAGCGAGAAGTATTGGCGCTTGCGCAAAGGACTGATTTTGGTCGTGTGAGATGGACTCGTCCAAAGCACGCGCTAGAGGGGTGTCAGCTTCAGTTGGTTTGTAGCTCTAGCTGTGTTTAGTTCGGTGCGTCACCGCAGCTGAGGCTGTGCGACCCCCTCTACTACCGAACTCCCCTCTCTCGGCTTACACATCGCATTTAGGTACCACCACTACTCGCGTGACCTATACCCAGTTTCGTCCATATACGCTGTTGATTTACGAAGGTAAGATATTTCAGTGTAAGAAAGTTATTGAAATTTTGGTGAATCTGTATTAAGTCGAGTCTACCCTCGAGTATATACAATTAATTACATGTAAGTAAAGAATGAAAAGGAACCTACACTAGGAAAATCAATGTCACGGCCGTCTCTTCATATTTGCTATTGTCAGTTGAATATACTCGTTATTTAGTGACAGTGAAATTAGAAGTTTTATATCAAACCTGAATACTAACTTTTCATTATTTATCAGCGTAGGACATTATCAAAGTTCTTTTTTTATTTTTTCGGTTATATGAAATATGTAAAATAAACTTAAAAGGAGTCCGTGTAGCTGAAGTACCTCAACATTTCAAGGTGTGATTGTTTTATTATTCTAATTTTTAATGATTTAAACTTTTATAGCACAGTTCCTATTAAAATGTCAAAACCAAGAAACCTCCAAAAAAGGAGGCGGCAAAATCTGGTTGTATAGCTGAGAAACAACAACAATAGTTTTAACAAAAATGTAGCTATCATAAAACAATATTATAGTTCTGTGAGAAGCCGGGATAACTCGTGCGGTATAGTGACTGACTACGGATTGGACGACCTGGGTTTGATCCCCGGCAGAGGCAGAGGATTTTACCTCTGTTCTCTGCTCTAAGACCCACCCAGACTCCTGACCAATAGGTACCGTGGGGACGTTTCCCGGGGGTGAAGCTGATCACTCACCTGTAATAAATGCCGAAGTTAAGAATGAGTAGGGGGGCTGCACCTCCTCTCGCTCCAAGCGTCTACTTGGCGTGGAGCGGGACCTGTCCCACGCTCGCTCAGAGAGGTAGGAAGAGAGAAGTAAGAGACCACGGATTGGACAGTTTCGGGCTGTCAGTGTCTACGATGTGGGACGACCAGAGGCTTCGCTCTGCGTCAGTCGCCGTGGATATGCCGGAGCCGTCGGTTACCGTAGAGGGCGATTGCAGCAATTGCATGGAACAGCGGCGTGGTGAGTGGTGATAGAGGGTGTTCGTGAAGTTTCTACGGATTGACACCGAATATAAACCAACGAGGAAATTAGGAAAACTACAAAATGAGGAGCTTCGCCTTGTTTGATCAGGAAGGATAAGCGTGTGCTGTTTTCATTGGGAAACAACAAATGAGTGCATTTTTGTTGTAAAATCTCCAGGAGGAGGGCACTAGAGAGAGAGACCTTGAGGGAGCGTGTTACAGTGGGCTTAAGAAATTGGTTTTGAACATCATTTTGCGTTGGTGGCAATGTACCTTAGGCTTCAATAACTAGGCGAATGATTGTACACAGGGGATAACAGTAATGCTAATAAGATTTGCATTTAAATTATATAAAACATTAGGAAATGTTTATTTTGTATGGTTTAACTGTTATAGCCTTGTTTACAAAGCTATAAAGATGTAGTTCTACTTCATAATCATCACCGTTAAGGACAGGAGTATATGCAAACACAAGGTCTGTGCAAAGTAGGTACTTACTTGCATTTAAAACGGGTTTAGAGATTGATTGGTTGAAGATTTGACTGCTATCCTCAATCAACGTATGTTTTGTGGATGTGTCCTGAAGCGGTTAGAACGCTGGCCTTGTAATCCTGGGGGTCTCGGGTTCGATACCCGGCGGTGCCCGAATTTATAACTTGTGTTGGGCAAGGCCGTGGTCTAGGCAACACGGAGTTTTCCTCCGTGGCATCCCAACAATTACTCCATTCACACACAGAAGAAGGCAATGGCAAACCGCTTCTGGATCATCTGCCAAGAACGTATATGAACAGGTCCCAGTCCGAGAAGAGAAAGGATGG